ACTAAATTGCAACATCCTTCTTCACATCCACTGAGTTCTTACCTCTGCTGATTGCAACAGGTCTGGCAGCCTTGTCTGCTACCCTTCTGAATCATTTATTGTTCTCCTGACAATGAAGGATGTCTTAACAGCCACCATCTCAGTCTGGCTCAGATGTCAATGGTCTGAATATGATCCATATCTATGCTGATAAAATAGAAAAGGGTCAGGTACCCAGCCTCTGAATCTCAAGCTAAGTAGGATGGACAATGTCCACAGTGCCTTGCATAAGACTCTCTAGAGCAGCCTTGTCTTGGAGAGAGCTGGCTGAGACAAATCATCAGATGAGTCATTTGGATGATCAAAGATACAGTGTTTGACCTTGTTCCCTGATAATATACAATGGAATCAGTTATGTAATACAGCCCACAGGCTGATATAATATTCCCTGTAAGAAAAGGAGGAGGAAAAAAACAGATCTACCTGAGAAGGTCAAAGTTTGCATTCTAAATCATTATCTTATGACATAGCTTTCAGTATTTTTAACACCTCTATAAATATTGAGAGATCCTCATACAATCAAAATAGTTCCAATAGAACGTCTCTCAAGCATTACAGGAAAGCATGACCTTGCCTTGTAGACTTCTACTTTTTGTACTAATAGACCGATACTTTATTCTACCTGGTCCCTTTTATAGGAGGCCATGTTTGCTTTACTGCAAAAGAACTAATGAATGCATTCTTGAAACAAATTCTGAGTTAAAGAGGTGAACCAGATGACTCAGAGGTTTTGGTTGCTGCAATTTTGTTAAGCTCATCAATGGAAACATCTGTTCCTTGAGTGAGTGAAGCTGGAAATGTTTTCCTTCCTTTTTTACTTACCAGAGTTATTAAAAGAGGAGGGATAAGGAAAAGAGTTGGCTCTAAGGAACTCTGTGGTGTCGCAGCTAAGATATTACCGGTACTTTGATTACTTCAGCTGAAGCCTGTTCAGGTCTTTATGCTGGACATCAGTGCAGATAAGCCTTCACCAGTCCATTGTGGGTATATCTGGAGGGAAATGTGACAGTTCCACCAACACTTTCCATCTGATGAATCCTCATCCAACCTGGAAGTGGTCTGTTTCCTAGCTTTGGAGAAGAGGAAAATTATCCTGTAGTTTTAACTCTGAATTTACACAAAAGTCACATGAGTTTCTCAGAACATTTCCACTTCTACCCGCTTTTGAGGAGAAGATACAAGGCAGTGAGGATGCGGGGGCTGATGCTTTCAGAGCTGAAAGTAGAATTGCACAGGCTCTCCTTTGGAGACAGCCAGGTAGACCTAGTCCCAGTGCTGCCCTGGATCTGCCCAGACAGATCCACCACTCCTCAAGTAAGAGGCAGACAGAGAACTTATAACAGATTGGAAATGTTGATGCACAAAGTTCCAGTGTGACTACTCAAAGGATAGCTCACCTGTGTGAGAAGGAAAATCCTAATTCAGTTACATACTGAAAACAAACAGGTAAACAGGAGTCCTTCACTAGGAGGTTCTTCCCACTCTGCTCATGAGCATTTGGATTCTTCCAGGTCTCCTCATTGTATGGATATCATGGGTAGATCAAGCACTGTGGAAAGGTCCCTCATTCTGCTCTTGTCCCTTTACACTGAGTGCAGGGACCACATTTAAAGAAAGGATCACTAGAAAGTGTGTGAGAGGCAGGAGGGCTTGTCTGGAACAGCTGAGGAAGGAGAGGCATGCATAAATAAATTAAAAAAAAATCATCCACTTTACTAAAATCCAATCACAGAGGGTGTCAAGGGGGAGAATAGATGAGCTGGTGTTAGAGGCAAGACTGTGAGAGGCAGAGCTCTAGCAGATATGTAAAACAATTTTGTGCCTCATTAGGCAGTCCCAGGGTGTCATACATAAAAGGACCAACCCCCAAACTGTGTGACACAATTTCTATTCTTTGCCCCTTTGAAATCCATCTAGAATCCACATTCTCACCCTAGTGTCATGAGAGTGTCAGAATCTGTTCAGGTAGGAGATATTAAGAGTAAAGCTGACAGAATGGGCTCTAAACCTTGTTTACCCTTCCCTCACCCATGCCAAAGCAGTGCCACACAGTAAGATTAGACACATTTCTCCTGATACTGGCTGTAATGAGAAACAAGAAGTAATAAGGTGATTTATTATCTCCTGTCTCTCCCAAAGACCTCAACATGCTGGCTCTGTCCTGCACTCCTCGGTGACTGGTTTCAGAGAGACAGAACTCTACTCACTCTTGTGCTGCAGCAACCTATCCTGCCTGTTCCCCAACACAAAGAAATGAGGAGACGAGGCAAGTTGCCAGGTTCTCAGAACTTTCCCTCATAAAAGCAATATATGTGCTTATTGTTCTTCTAGATTACAAAATTTGGAAAGGAGAAGAGAAAACGTAAATTGCACAGTTTATTTTATAGAATAGAAAACACAGCACCCCTGCTGCAGTGAAGTCCGTTGAGCCCATAAATGTGTCATGGCTTGATGGAGAGCACCATAGTCACTCAAATGAGTCAAGATTCCACAAGACGACTTTCTACTGAGCTCAGCATGATTTACCAAAATTGAGGGAGAATGAAGAACTATGGAATGGCTTTAGTGGCTGTCTCCCAGCTTCAGACACTCCATCTCTAAACTGCTGTCAATCTTCTGCACTCCCAGGTTTCCCAGGACCTTGGAGTCAGGGGCCTGTTGTGCCAAATGTTGTGCTAACAGAAATGAACAAACAGTCGTTATCCTGGAGATGTCATGAGGCTATCTCCGGATTTTTACTTTTTACACTTTAAATAATGTACCTGAATGGAATCTAAAGGAGGCATGAGATATTTAATGTAGAATTTTGAATTTGTTCAGGATAAATTAGATTCTTGGCCTTTCATGCCAGAATGCTTTCTTCACCCTTGATCCTCTTGATTTCTTTGAGACTTCTGGTGAAATAAAGGTGTAATGGATCCAAATCATGCTGCTGAAAGGCAGGCACCAGTATAGCTATTACTGGTACCACTGAGCATATAAGCAACAGCAGGGGATCCAGTTTCCCCTGCTGGCTGAATAGACAGCTTTCCAAAAGAGTGGTATTGGTACAATGATGGTATACTGCAAAGTTAAATTAATATTTCTTCTGTCTCACACTGTGTGGGACAACAAAAGTAGGGTGAGCAACTCAGGCTGCCCCTATGGCTGCCATAGTCCAGCTTCTTATATCACTGATAGAAGGAAAAAGTCACAATCACTCAGGCTATTCTGTGTCATTTGTCAGCCTGGTCCACTGGCTTCTTGAAGTCCCTAAAAATGTCTTCTGTTTTCACTAGGTTGGTCTTTGTAAGTCCTGCTGTGTCTGACAATACTGAAAGTAGTCTGCAGTACCTCACTTAAATGAGGCAGCACCAGTGTCACACCAGATTATAATTACAAACTGTACTGATAGGCCCAGTGGCCTTCTTCATTAAAAATAAAAGTTCCATAATGTAAATCTGGGAATCTAAACAGTTTTTTATGTATTGATTATGTTAAAATGACAAGAAACAGAGCCAACAAGCTTGAATTTCAAAACAACTCAGCAGAAAAAAAGAAAAACCACAACAGTCCTTCTCTTAATATAGAGGATTATTCTGGAGGACAAAAACCTTAAAAATGAAGCTGGCTTTCTGTTTGCTGAACCTACAGTGTTTATCTCATTGCTTTTGCAATATAAAAGAGCAGTATTTAAGTAAAAGCTAACTTCGGATATTTCTGTTAGTACTGCAGGCAATTCTTTTGTATTCTCTTAGGGCCTTGTTCTTTCCTCTGAAACTGTCTCAGGCTCAGGTTGGATGAGGGTCTGAGCAACCTAGTCTAGTTGAGGATGTCCCTGCTCATTGCAGAAGGGTGGACTTGATTACCTTCGAAAGTTCCTTCCAACCCACACCATTCTGTGGCTCTAAGACTGTATGTGGCCAACAGGCTTAATTTGACATCTGATGTTTCTTGCTCTGCAGCAAGGGGAAACCACATACCCCCTGGTTATTGCTTCCAGAACCTTACCACACAGTTTGTCTGGGTTTGGGGTCTACTTTGACACACCTGAAATGTACTACAGGGGATTGGGAGAGCAATTTGAAGCCATCACTGAGCAGACTTTGGTCTGAGTGTCTAGTCCAGCACAATGTCAGCACATGTCCCAGCTCAGTCCCGGTAGAGCTGTGACTGCATAAGACTGGTGCTGTGCCCAGAGTAATTAGATCTGCCTCTGAAGAAGAATAAGGAGCTTGGGCAGAATGACAGGGCAATGTAATTATACTTCTTCTGGAGCTAATTCAGGGACCACAGCATTAGGCTGAATTGCATAGCCTAGATATTTCAGAATTTATTAATTTTGAATTATCTTTTCTAAATACTCAAAAGTGAGAGATTTAGTGTTGCAGTTATAGGTACCATCCATCTCTCCCTCCTCCTTGTATTAGCAGTGTCTCACATGGTGTTTTCTGTTTCAGTCTCAAAACCCATAGTGCAGCCACATGAGCCTTAGAACCCCTCCATGCTCCAGCCTCCATGAGGAGGCATGACTTGTCAGAGGACATCTGACACAGTTTCCCATTCAACCTTGGAAAAGAACTTCTGCCATTTTCAGGATTGCAGAATGGAGAAGCACAACATTAAAGGAATGAAAACTAATGGTGTCAAGCACAAAGGAATGAGCCTAGGTTAATAATACTGGAAGGTCATTATTTTTGCTGGCTTTTCAGAAGGGTTTTTTTCAAAGCAGCTCAGATATGTTACTATGACAAGCACAGCATAAATGCTCAGCCAGACAATCAGACAGTGTACCTTCACCTTATTACGTGTGACTGAAACTGCAAACAGCTCAGATCAATCTCAGAGATATTAAATTAGAGCTGAGTCTCACTCTATCTCCCCTACAAAATGAGCTGAGCTAAATCTGAGATAATGCCCACATCAAGAGACACGACGAACCATATTCCACTGGGTGAAGATTTATTTTTAGTTTTTCCATAGAATATTTCTGATTATATGAACAATGGAAAAGAAGAAAAAATCTCAGCATTAGAAATGCATTGAATCTGTACATGCATTATGTAGCAGCTGGGGGTTCTGTCTTTCAGACAGAACCGAATTATGATTCTTGCACAATGTAACAATATGATAACTAAAAAGAAGGCCTGGGTTGAAATGGGTAGCAGATAATATTACAGAATTACAATAACAAGGTCATTTGAAAATGAGAGCAAGTAAGCAACTCAAGGAAAGAAAGTAGATATAATGAAAAGAAAGGAAGCATTCGTTATGGGGTGGGTGTAGAGCAAAGAGAGAGTTAGATTCCTAAACTAAATTGGCATTTATATCACTGCAGTTTTGAAAAAACGTCTCCCATTCCCCATGTTGTTATTGCAGTTCTTAGGGGGATAAAAAGATCTTGCATCATAAACACTGAGCTGAGCAGCATTGTCATCATCATCACCACCACAGTAAACTGATTTAGGCCATCTCAAATAGTATAGTAGTTACTTTCTGGCTATACCTATATTTATGACCTCTGTCATAAATAGAACAGAGACAGGTTATAGGCTAACATGCTGTCCTAAGACCACCCCAACTGATTATTGCTAAAAATTCTCTGACGTATTTTTGTCTTTTTGTTCTACTAGTTTCCCAGACAGTTTCTGGACACTGATAGGGAATAAACTGGGTGAGGGACAGCTTGAATATCCACACTCCTTTCTGATGAGTGAGGGGAAAGTTTTGCCATGTGTAGATGAATTGTGCTGTGCCACTTGGCCTCAGGGGCAGACTGTGTTCCTCGGTCTGTTTTATTTGGTAGTACAAAATGAATCCTTTCAGAATCATAAAAGTCAAATAAGGTACCAGAAGACAGGAAAAAAGACAATCATAGTCATTATTCTTAAATAGGGAAAAGATTAGTCAATATCAATTTCTAGAAAAAAAATCTAGAACAAATAATTGACTACACTATATATAAGTCCCTGAAGGATAGCAAGAAGATAAATAATAGTCCACTGGAATTCATCACAAACATATTGCATTAAACTAATTTAATTTCTGTCCATAACGAGATTTTACAGCTAGAGCTGAAGCAGTTAATTTCACATATTTTGATCTGAACACTGTCTTATATAACATTCTCATTAAAAGATTTCCACATATATAGCCTTGGTGGATCTTCTGTAGTGTGGGATAAAATTGACCAGATAATTATACGCTAAGAATATTTTCTCTGGTTCACTGTTCAGTTGGAATGATTTACTTTACTGAGTGGCATGCTAGAGGGATCTGTCTTGGATCTTACTCTACTTGACATTTTAATTAATCACCTGGATGATGGAAAAGAAAATATCAAATATTAGATTTGCAGATGACTTGAAGACAAGAAGGACAGCAAATGCATTGGAGGACAGAGCTAGAATTTAAGGAGAACTTGAAAAATGAAGTGTCAAATAGCATTCATTCAAAGTGCATAAATGCAAGATATCACACTAAGGCAAGAGTAATCAATGGTGCATATGGTACAAAAGTAATCAGGGTACACAGAGCCTTCCCAAATCTTCATTCGTGAAGCCTAGCCATGAATCAGGGTACACATGTGGTATACAGTATAACAACAGTTCAACCAGTAAAGCACTCTTCTTCAAGACAGGTTCTGAAGGTTGTGAGGTACTTCTGTACCCTGTGGGGGTACCCAAGCATGGCTGTGCAATGGTAGCAAGCTTGTAGACTGAAGGAGTCAGGGCTGAGGACCCAACTCTTGTGGGTTCACTTTTAGATGGTTTACTTGAGTCTGGCTCTAGTCTGGTCTTGTGGACTCTCCATCAGCAGAAAATGTTCAATAAGTAGACTCTTGAGGAACATCGTTTGGTTTAGTTTTGTCCCAAAGAAAAGCAGGTCATGCACCTCAAGATTTCTCTGTAATACAAAATAAACATGTTATATGGGGATGAAGTCAACCACTTCAAAAGTACTCTTGTAACAACTGAAATACTGATGTACATGTATATACCATTGGACATCATAAATTGAAACAAATATTTTCCGTTGGCAAAATGGCAGACATCAGATCACGTTTTACAGACAGAGTAACAGCTCGCAAGTCATACTGTTTTGTCCCACGTTTTGTAAGAGCTCAGATGAAACTCTGTTCAGTTATGGCTATGAGAAAGACAAGCTGGAGTCAGTCTAGAAGAAAGTGATTTTAAAATCACTTGGGAAAGAATAAAGGACTTGGGGTTGTTTAGCTTAAAAACTGATTTGGTACATGACAAAAGATGACAAACACTTTTAGAGAGAAAAGAATAATCTGTTCTTCTTCCCATGATGGATAGCACAAACAAGAATAACAGGAAAAGTCTCCCAAGCCTATGCTTGGGGAAGCACCAGCACAGATTGCCTATGGAGATATGGCAGTCTCTATCAAGGAGGATCAGTAGCAATTAGACAAGCAAGCGGTATAAATGATCCCTCCTTAGGCTAGGTGGATGGACTAGGCAGCTTCTGAAGGTCCCTCCCAATCCAGTTTTTCCATGACTCCTCTTTTTTCCTCCTGACTCAGTGGAACTACATTATTTTTTCCCAATGGTCCTTGTTTCAAGCAGTGGGGAGCAGAATGGTTTGTGTCAGAGAGAAGCTTAGGATGTTTTCCTAGGATACAGTCTGAAGCTGCTAAGGTGAAACGTCCCTAGGAACCTACCCTGCATACCTGACTCCTGTGGAGGTCCCACTCTTGCCACTGAACTATTGGATGGAAGAGGTGTTTTCATTCACTTCAGACCATGGTTTTAAGTAAATGTGGTTATGCTTTGCTGGGAGAAACCATGGCAATACAGATCACATGCAGAAATAGAATTTTATGTGACTTGGAAAATGTGTTGCATATTTATTTGGGCATTTGAAGAAGTGCTGAGAAGATTGCAGTGAAGACTGGAACTTGTATATGTTGTGCTTGTCTGCTGAACCCGAAGCCTGTATATGCTGTGCTTCTGTCTAGTGCCTTCAATAGAAGAACATAAGGACATCAGAGATTAAAAAAAAGTAGAGGCGACTGGAATTACCAGTTGCAGTGGCATATCCATAGGACAACTAAAACAAACACCTGACACTGACTGCAATCCTTACATAGAACACGATATTCTGTGGATTCAGCTAGTACTAAATAGACGCTAATTGCATAATCTGTATGCTTAATAAAATATTTATTTCTTTATTTTAATAAATTAAACAAATAATTAATCATTAATTATATTACATAATAATATAAAATCTATAAACAATAAATATTTAATTCATTAAACATATTTAATAAACCTAGTGTATATGCAAACTCCAAGGAGGAAATATGGCTCGATGTTGGTCTGCATATCTGCATATCCTCTCTGATATGGTACAAATGACACTAAACAGATGCCTTTTCTGAAGTCAGCTGCAACAGGGTGAGGCTTGAGCAAATCCATAGAAGGCCAGACTTCTCACACATCACAGGGTAGTTGCTCTTCAGGAACAATGTGACATTTAGCACTGAATCAAGAGAAACACAATGGCCTAAGCAGTGCTGTATTATTGTGTTGATGACTAGGTGTGCAGTGGCATTTAAAAAATGAGCACTGGCTTTTTAGTGCTCTACAAACTCTGAACCCGGTCCTTTAAAGCCTCCATGCGTGGAATTCACATTGACTTGTGTATACGGAGGACTAATATTCAGGTCAAGCCTGAATATTAAATAACTTGTCATTCCTGATGTTGCTGCTTAGAGCTGGCATCATATTGTTTTGTTTAGGCAGAAACTGTTAAAATTTTTTTCATACTCTGTTTTACTAACTAAGAAGACTAATACATTTAAAGCAATTATTACAAAAGGGAAACCTACACTCTTTTTCAACCCGCAAAAAAGCCCCAAATCTGAACAAGTATAACACTGGCAAAATCTATAAACAAAGCAATTACTGAAACAAATAGTCAATGTTAAAAAGAATATGAGGCCATTCCAGAACAACCTCTATCTTTTTAGACAGTCTAAACAGGCTGGCTACAACAACATGAGGAATTTGGCTTTTCCAAGCTACAACATATTTTTCTTTTTTTAGCAGCCAAAAAGCTCCATAGGCAAGGAGAGCATACAGCCAAGTTTTATACACAGTGAAATAAATTGTAGAGGTGTAGGTGTTAGTGGAGCCTGAATACAATGAACTACTAGAGGTGGGGAAACTGCATCTCCTGGTCTCCAGGACTCTGCAGTTTATCTCTCTGTGATAAACTTCATATGTTGAAGCTGGACTGAAATTAACCTCTGCTGAAGGCAAGATTTGTCCCTAGAGGAGGTTAGCTCTAGAAACCGTATCGATATACACAGTTTATTTGTTCCACAGGGAAAATATATTAAGAACCTGTATCTGTGGCATGACTCATCTACTCACAATGTACAAGGAGCTGGAAATTCCTCCATTTTACGAAAATAGAGCATGTCCCTTGAGTATCTGGAAAACAGACGCAGTGGTTTTACATCAAGCAAAGTCTTGCTTGTCTAAGCCAGAATGAGTAAAAATGGAAGAGCAGGGATAGAAAGACTGCTGATTTCTAGAAAACTGGAGAACTGCAAATATAATTGACTGAAAGGTAGCATATAGAAGCAGCATACTTTTATGTAGTGGTTGATATACCTATTATATTGATTTTTTTTTTTTGACTAGAGCTTAACACACGTAAACAGAGTCCATAGTATTTAGTAAATTGTGCTTAGTAGGAAACTTAATAACTAAAAGATGAATAGTCCATGAGCAGAAACACTACAGGACCAGCCACTGTTACATGAATGGCAGATGGCATGAGCAGCCTTGCAAACTTTAAGAAACTTGTTTTCCATTTGAATGAGAATAAATGGAAAATGTAATGAAATGAGGTTACTCTTTCACCATTCATGGGTTGGATCCACCTCTTCCTGAAGTTGATGATGGTTTTGTTCCATGTAGAGTGGCCACCTGTTGTAAATGGTTAGCCAAATTCCACTTTCAGGTATATTTTAGGGAAGAATCTGGGGAGATTGTGACTCAAGGCTTGCTTTAGAGCAAGGTATTCAGTCTCATTTCCCAACCCTACACAAAAGACAGTTAATTCGTATTTCTGGGGGTTTATTTCCTTCAGGGTGATAATGTATCTGGTACTACATACTTGTTCAGCACATTATTACCCTAGCTTGGCTGGTGTCCCTGGGCAGTGCTCTCTGATACATGACATTAATAATATTAATGATGAGAAAGAAAGATCACCATTGGCGTTAGTTCCCTGTTCTGTGGAGAGGCTGAAGGTGTGTAAAGAGCTGGAAGGTATTGGTACCGTCTTTCCTCTGAGTCAGGATTAAGGCCACTGAGGAGGACAAACCTGCCATTCTGCTGTGCGTAGAGCATAAATCCAGAGTTTTTTAGGTCATGTCCATTACAAGCACCACATTTATTTGTGGTGTAGCAACAGTAGCAGTACTAATTGAAGTAGAAGCAGCAGTAGTTGCAGTAGTAGTTGCAACAAATGTCCAGACATTAACTGACTGGCCTTTTTCAAGGGAGTTATCACTTGGGGCTAGATGAAGGAGGTGTGTGGGTAATGTGGGGTCTACTAGCCCCATCACACTAATTCCCTCAGTTGCTGCTCTTATTAATCTATTTGGTTATTACAATAATCTCTGACTATTTCATTAATCTCTTTGGCTACAACTAGAGTTAATGTTAAGGCAATTTTTCTCTTGTGTACTTCCCCTGGCTGGGACTCCGATTTCTGGAGCATTGCAATAGCTTTTACAGCAGCTTTGAGAATACCTCCACTGAGATATGCATAATATGTTATTTACAGAGAAATTCCTAAAGAAAAAACCTGACCTTTAAAATAAACTTTACTAGACCTAGGCAAACAGATTTAGAAACACTAGAGCCAGAGAATTTTCATCTACATTAAAAGATTCTCTTTTTTACCAACCAGCAACTGTGCTTCATGGATAAGCCCCAGCAGAAGAAAATATATCCATAGCTGTTACAGCTGCTCTAAAGGGCTTTTGCCAATATCTGGCTTTCTGCTTTCTTCTCAGTGTTTTGCAACTTCAAAATAAAGTTATTTCTTTTCTAAATATCCTCTGAACTGGAAAATATAACCTCCGGGATTTCTCCCATGATTTTCTGTACACAGGCAAGCTGAACAAACACAGGGCTATTCTAAGACGGAAGCTTTTTCTTTTGTATGAATGCAGGTCTGATGATCAATGTAAAGTGTCCTCCTATCCAAAGCACAAAGATTTTGGTGGTCTGAGTTCTTTTGGTAAACACATTTGCTTTTCTGGAAGGCAGTATAGAATTTCACATAGGCTCTGCTTAGGAAGGAGACTACACTGTAGGCACTTAAGTTTTGTGTATACTTTGGAAGATGGTAGCCAGTGTATTTAAACATATTAATTGTCACTTCATTCCCAAGATGTCGTGTCAGTTCCCAAGAAGGTTCTGATGAGAAGGCCAACAAGGACCAGTCATAGTTTCATTCTCAAGGTTAGCTGAATGTGTTACAAATACTAGCACCACAATTAGCATTGATTACACTGACTGGTAGCACTGGTATGAGACAAGTACAGACCACAGCTGAGCAGGGACACAATTAAGCTTGGGAAAAGCTATTTTAAGTCCTCTTTTGCAGAGCTGTTTGCAGCCTGCCATACCATGCCATGTGAATGATGCAGCAAATTGTTCAGTGCATCAAGGAAGAGCTTATGTGGTCCATGCACCTTGCTTTCCTCCAGCATCTGTTGACTCCCATTCAACCATGCCGCCACTCAGGGTCTGTTTTCGCTCCTCAGAAATTACTTTACCTATCCTGTTTTGTTTTGACATGTACACAGCTGACTCTTTGATCAAACTTCATCTTGAAAAAAAACCTCTGTG